ATAAACCCATTCGCTCATCTAATGCGGAACATCGAGACTTACAGCTGCGCACTACCTTCTTCGGGGACCTGATGCTCTCCACTCGTTGGAGAAAGAGAGCAGAGAGCTTGGCAGCCCCTCCTTCCTGAAAACCCACAACCGGAGGTTGCCTTTAACCCACAATATCTCTACATTTTGACTGTAAGGAGAAGATGAGTGAATTAAACGAAAGTGTTGTTTCCTTGAGAGGTGATAATCGGTGTTGCTTTCTGAAAAATCCGATTTAAAGAGCCAAAAAACGAGAAAGAGACTCAGCAGTGAGCCTACGTCGATTGCAGGAAAGAGACAACCCATTCTTGGGTTTTGACACTTTTGGTCCTCGGATTACACGATACTGGCAGAATCTACCCCAACACTAAAATGTCTTACATATCTAATTTCTAAAAATTACTTATTGGACCCTGAACTAATAAAATTTATTTATATAAAATAAATTGATTTATTATTATTATTATTATTATTATTAATTTAACCTTTCACCTATATAATGCATTTTATTTAATTACTCGATATTTTTTTTTATCAAACCTATTTCAAAATCATAAAATGGATACAACCGTTACATTTGATTTTGGGTTAAACTTGAAGGATTTAGGTTGTTGACTGAGATTTGATAATTGTTTGGTGTTACTCGGTTCGTGGTTCTGATCGGTGAAAAGAGTGGAGTGTGTTGTTGTGCTTTTCCGATTCTTCGATTCAGGTGAATTTCTCACTATGTCATTTATCTCACTGTATATCGTTTCTAAAGTGATGAAATTGTGTTTCGAACCGTCCTAAAAAAATAGTATACCATAGGGGACCAAATTTGATTAAGATTTTAAAATGTATTTCTTGCTTTAAGGTGCCTTGGTGTAAATGAAGAGCATTTATGTTTTAAACAAAAACAAATAAATTTTGTAAAGGCATGTATTAGAGCATTGTACACATTCTAAAAATAAGATGCAATTCCTCAAATTAACGTAGAGTAAGTTACACAAATAGTTGTGGTTTGGGTAATTTATATGTTTGGCCCTTATTTTTTTTTTTATCTGTACCACTCCTATTTTATGTTTTTGTTTCGCGTTTGGTCTCTACCATACTTAAAATGACTGTATGCCTATGTATATTTCCTTTTTCTTTTTATCTAATTTAATGCTTAATAATTATTTATTTATTAAAGAAATTGGTATATAAAATGTTGGGACCATCCTATCATATTTTTCCCTAAGACCAACTCCAAACTTATCACTAAAAATTACACCATTTTTGTGTAAAAGTAGCACCAAAACTCGTTTTAACTCCAACGACACACTAAAAAATTACACTAAAACATATTTTAATATTATAAAATATAAATAATAATTATAAAAACTAAAAATCATGTAAAATAACACCATTTAAAAGGAAAAAGTGATTTGGTGTTATGAATAGTGGCCTTTATATATATATATATATATATATATATATATATATATATATATATATATATATATATATATATATATATATATATATATATATATATATATATATAGAGGTCAAATTTCTTCCCACAAAAATAAAGACCACTTTTAGTGGTTGATTGGAGCATTTTTGACCTCTATAAAACAAAAATAGAGGTCCATTGAAGATTGTATAAGGTCGCTTTCATCTTGTTCTTTATGTCTCCTTCCCCACTATCGCATAAAATTATGTTGCCCAACCATCAAACCCTAATATCAGAAGAAATCACCATCGGCGGAGTCTCTAAAGATATTTGAAAGGAGCACGAAACGAAAGGGAACCCACCAACAAGAACCCTTATCCCTTTCCTTTGCCCTTCCCCTTCCTCGATGTCCCTCCTCCAACCGTCTCCACTGCACCTTTAGCCACCTGCAACTCATCGCCATCGAAGTTCAGATCTAGATTTTGGTTTTGGAAACAAGATTAGCAACAATAAAAGTATTTGGATTCAAGGACTCCGGTGACCTTTTGGGATTCAATTTTTGAAACCATGTAGCGACCTTCTTAGATCTATGGGGGATGACATTCATAGGAGCCATCCCGTCTTCCATCTCTTATGTTTTTTAATGTATATTATTTCTGCAAATATATAGTGATCTCAATGTATATATTTTATGTTTTTTTATTTGTGGATTTTATGAATTCTGTTGTTTTGATTTGTTTTTGACCCATAAATCAAACGATTACCTGTTGGGTTTGAATGTATTTTATTTATGGGTTTGAATATATTTTATGACAACCCAAAATTTCTATTCTATACAACCATTCAATTTAATAGAAGTCAGAACAGTTTCTGCTAACTTTCAAGCTTTTTGGAATAAGTTTGAATGTTTTAAAGTTAGTGCTTCATAAGTTAATAAGAGAGAGGATGCCCGAGGGTTTATTGTGCATCAATAAAGTTCCAAAAACTCCAAGAGTTTGGAGTTTACGGCCCAAATGGTATTTGGACCGTAAACCCTAATGTCTATATATATGACACTTAACCATTTTTCACACTTGTTCACCATTTCAAGCTAGAACTCAAATCCTCTCAAGTAACATCCGAATTTTCCTTCTTGATCTTCAACTTGTAAGTGTTTCTAGCCCTAATAAGTTGATATCTACCTTAATCTAGTGATCTAACACACTTCCATCCGTGAAATCATTCCAAAAGTGTAGATCTTCAAGTTTCAACAAGAACATACTAGTGTTCTTGGACTTTTAGCACCTTTTCAAGCTTCTACCTAGTAAGTACTTCTATCCTAGAGTATTATAAGACTTGTTACACTTCTAAACATCAATAAAACACCCAAGAAAGTCAAGATCAAAGGTGTTTACGGTCCAAGATGTTCTTGGACCGTAAACCCTAAAAATGGTGCCAAAGTGTGCCCTAGTCCCTTGTAAGCCTTGGAAACTAGCCTAGATCCCTTCCTTGATGAGCTTAGTACTTGAAAACATCAAAAGACCATAAACCATATGGGTTTACGGCTGTAAACCCAAAGGAAAATGGTCCAAGGACCATAAACTCCATTTAGTAGTGAAATTGTGCCCTAAACACTTCCTAAGGCTAAGACATGAAGTAGGAATGCTTCTTTAGGACATATAGGCTTCAAAACACAAAATGGTGGAGGTACCATGAGTTTACGGCCGTAAACTCATGGGTTTATATCACACCCCCAAACCGGAATGGCGGAAACGTTCGGGGGCGGATGACTTCATGTAGTACCGTATCAATTGAATACATAGTAAAGAAAGCAATATAACCATCATATATATAATTGAAAGTTTACATTGTTAAAAGGTACATGTTCAAAACCAATTACAATATGATGCCAAAATATGAAATTAACTAGCGCCGCAGCGTCCCTTCTTCAAAAGTTGTTTGTTACCTGTAATTACTAAATCCCTAGGACATACAAGTAGTTTTGAAAGAGTAGGTCAGCATTTAAGCTGGTGAGTTTCATAAGTATTAAATGACAATGTTGGTATGAATTTAAAATGAAATGGTTTGTTTTTGTTTGTTTGTTCCTAGAAAATCCCATATTTTCTACTAGTATAAATGTAGCCTTCTATCAAGACCAAAGTTTGTTTCTAGAAAATTGATGTTTTTCCGTATGTGGGTGGCAGTTTAGAAGTTCCAAAACTGTAACACAATAATGTTTTGCATGCCTAAAATAGTTAATTTATGTACGTGTAACGTCGCCAAGACGTCCGAAAAACCCCGTAAATTAATGTGTTTATAATACTCCATGTGAGTTTTATAACCATGCTATTGACTTGGACGGCCTATACACAACGTTCTTCAGGCGTTGGAATGTTCTGACGTTTGTCACCCCAAATGGTGTACTGTAGCTAATAGTTAGGGCTTGGGGTTGTCAATCCCGTATAGATCTATACACAAACACCATGCTCCCCCTCCAAGGGATTCTGGTATATAATACAGGACTTGAAATGTGTACTCGAATGTACGTGACTTTTTATCGGAAATTTTTTTATTTTTTCATCTGATTTAGTCATTTTTATGTTCCAAATAGATTCTAATTTTTTTTATATATTTTTTGATTTCGTACTTTAATGCTTTTATTTCATCATTTTGTTTTATTCTGATTGTATCTACATACCCGTTTTCTATTTGGGTTGCTAACTCAACGGTAGAGTACTCGGCTTTTAAGTGCGGCTAGGATCTTTTACACATTAGATGAAGCGAGGGATTCATCCATACCATCGGTAAAGTTTGGAAGACCACGACTGATCCTGAAAGGGAATGAATGGAAAAAATAGCATGTCGTATCAATTAAGAGTTCTGAGAATAATTTATTCCGGCTCCCGCCGGTCATTATGGATCTAGTGGCATGGCGGGGCAAAAGAAAAGGGGGGGGGGGGGGAAGCAACTACGAAGCTTCGTAGACTCGACAAGTCGCTCCGCTTATAGAATATAATGAAGCAAGCTAGCGACTCTCCTAGTAGCGAAGGAAAGGGGCATTCGGGAAGCGACTAGTCGCTTCTGGCGAAGCTTCTAGAAGGCCGACCACTACATAGAGAGATCCATATACCAGTCATGAGCGATAGCGAAGCCTAGAGAGGCGCAGGGCAGGCTCTTGGGCGGAAAGCCGGTTGGGCGCTAGTGCTTTATATTATACTAATATAATATGAATTCAATTAAGTTAAGGGCTTTTCCCTTATTAGTAAAGTTGCTCGAGGCCGGAAAATGAGAATACAATCTAGAAGATCTGGTCGAATGGTAGAAGAATCTATGGATTCGTTAGGAATCGATAGTCGTTGGCTGGACATACGAGTCACAACCGGCCGGGACGCCTCTCTAGGCTTCGCTATCGCTCATGACTGGTATATGGATCTCTCTATGTAGTGGTCGGCCTTCTAGAAGCTTCGCCAGAAGCGACTAGTCGCTTCCCGAATGCCCCTTTCCTTCGCTACTAGGAGAGTCGCTAGCTTGCTTCATTATATTCTATAAGCGGAGCGACTTGTCGAGTCTACGACTATCAAAATGAAAAGCAGCAAGCTGAACTTGAATTGAAGAAGCGAGCCTCTATCAGAGAAAGGAAATCCGTTGGACGGCGGGAATGGGAGATTACCGGTAAGCCAGATGCTTCACGAACCATATTCTTAAGGCATTTCGTTGCACTTAAATCACCCTCGTGAAGAGGCGCACTCCGATACCATTGATGTCCAATAGCTTTGATAGTAATGGCTGGATTTACTACTACCTCGTCCATTGAGTATAAGAGAGCAAATGATGGTATAGCAATGAACATCGGGATGATACTAGGAAATATGGTCCGAAGAATCTCGATAGTAGTTCCATGAACAATCCTTTGCGGGATTGGATTTTTTTCTTTTTGGAAATGCCATAAAGCGCGAACCAAGATCCGTGAGATGAAAACCAAAATAAGAATGAGGAAGAAAAAGATATCGTGATGTAAGTCTATTATTCCTTGCATCATAGGTGTTGCTGCGTCTTGAGATCCTAATTGCCATGGTTCCGCTGCATCACAAGGAGCAATTGTGAGAAATAGCCATTCTAGAACAATCATTTGATCTGTTTCATTCTTTGACTGCTCTGCTCCCCTAAAAAAATGGAGAGACTTGTTCTTGCTCTTCCAATTAAGGAAGATGGATTTCGCCGGTTGGTCCAACCAAGAAAGACATGGGAATTTTGGGCGTCAGATTCTTCTTCTTCTCTTACTTACGATATTTCGAGTTGGATGAACAGATCGCTCCTAAAAGCAAGCAGCCGTGTGATCTTATATACGATACCACCAGACGCGCCCCAGTTTCAAGCGAGGGTACTAAATCCGCAACAGAGAGAGTAGCCAGGTGTGAATGTTATAGATCTAGCTCTTCACGAGCAGCAAAGCTAGACAAGCAAGCAACAAGGCTTCAGCCGGGTGTTTATCCTGATGAAATAGAATATATGTATATACAGGCTCGCTACTACTACTCGAACTACCCGAGACAGAACCATACTTGCGTAGGAAAGAAAACAAAGTAAGTCCTCTCCTTAGCTCTTAGGCTAGCTCGAGGGGACCAATCATTGATGGTTCTAGAACCGCTAAGCCTACGTTACATGCAATAGGTCTCACAAAACTTAGTATAAAACAGATTTACGTATGAAAATGTTCGTTTGTTATTGTATATGAATGTATCTCTTTGAAATAGTGTTTCTAGTACGTTAAAGTTCGTGATGTTCTCGTAAAACTATACCTATTATAGTTTTCTAAAAGTGTGTCTCGTTTGTAAGTAAACCCTAGTGAAATGCTCACTTGTTATGAAAAGTATAACTTTTGTAGTGCCAAAGATTGACACATATACATACAGTATAAGCAGAGTGTTTGATATATATATATATATATATATATATATATATATATATATATATATATATAACAACATTTTTTATTTCAAAAGACAAGATGTTATCGTGATATATTTTGCATACGAAAGTTTCCCTATAATAGTTATGATTCACATATGATTAAATTGATAAAAAATGTATAATGAAACTTTATATAACATATGATAATAATCGTGTGTTTTACTTGTATTCCCCTCCCCCCTCCCACCTAAAAGAATAGAAAAGCATTTATTAAACATTTAAAAGTGTGGATTATAGGGGTATGAACTCACTTGAAAGATCGAAGAAGACGAGATGAATACCGAGCAGAACTTCAACTCGAGAAAGTGGATTTTCTCGGGATTCTCGGGAGCACAAACGACCTTCGGGACTTGAGCAAGGAAACCGGGGCTTCGGGATATCACGTGCATGGAAAACGAGGCAAAAACGAAAGAAAGATGAGAGGAATTGAGCCTTTTCTTCGGAACCCTCACATCCCTTTTATAGGGGCTGGGAACCGCCTCGGTACGCTGGGCGTACGCGTGCGTCATGCGTGATCGCATCCTCGACTGCCTAGGAGCTTCAGATGGGACAGGGCATGGCCTCGCATAGGGGGCGGCATGGATGATCCGAGGCCTAGTCCTCGAGTACGCTGGGCGTAACTCCGATTGGCCCGGTGACTCCTCCTTCGGATAATACCGAAATTTAATTTAAATTTATATTTTTATTATTTAATAAACTTCAAAAATTCATATCTTATTCATACGAACTCCGTTTTCGACGTTCTTTATATCCACGCGTAGGTGAGACTATGCTCTACAACTTTCATTTAGACTCCGTCGGCAAATTTCGAAATTATTTTTATTATTTATTTTTAGAAGGTCGCGGTAAAAAAATTCCATTAGAAATCCATAACTTCATTATCCGATGTCTGTTTTTGCTAGACTTTTTACCGTTGAAAAACCATTGTCGAGACCTTTGATTCTCATTTAGGTCATTCCGGCCAAAAGTCGCTCGATCTCTGTTTCGAGTTTTTAGCTGTCTGTCGCTATGTCGAACTTGGAAAAATCATAACTTCCTTATACGAAGTCAGATTTGGACATTCTTTTTATGTACAATCACGGTTTAATGATATCTAACATAGTAGGCAATCAATTAGAGACTTTTGAACATTTTATTTTCGAAGTAAATTTCATTATATCAAAAGTGGTTACAATACTTGACTTTTTAGGTCATTACATAGAGTTGAAATATCGGGTTGTCACAGTTTACGACTGTAAACTCCAATGGAGTTGGTCCCAAAACCGTAAACACCTTTTAGTTCCATTTCACTTCCCTTTGATGAACCACATGTGATTCCTTCACTTGATCAAGGTGTTTCCTAGTCCCGGAAGGTGTTTCCTTACAAATAGTTGTTTATAAACAACATATTCATGTCAATATGTGTCCTTATATGTAATTTAGGACCTATTGTGTCTCGGGACTTCATTCGTGGAACTTCTCATCCTTACACGCATACCCGTTTGAATCACCCACATCAGGTGAGTTCATACCCCACAATGAATCTTTTAACTGTTTTAGGGGGGGGGGGGGAATACAAGTTGAACATAATGATAATTGTGTGATTGTTTGTTATAAACATCTTTCAAAATGTTACTTATGTCACTTATAAGTCGTCAAAACATTACAAAACTCTTTTAAAGTTATGTTATGTCACACCCCCGAACCAGACGGCGGAAATGTCGGAGGGCTATTGTGACTTAATTGAATACCATCACAATGAATATACATGAATCATAACATCATTCATCACCATGCATTGAAATATTACAACCATCAGTGTTTACATTCAGTACATTGTTTTAAAACATTACATTTCCAAAACATAAACCGTTCGATATTAATTAAACAAAACATCATGATACCACTGGATACATTTTCTTCGATTTACCTGTTACCTGAGAATACAAGTATTTTGGAAAAACGTCAACATATGAAATGTTGGTGAGTTCATAAGTAATGTTTGAAAAGTAATGATTTGTGTTATTTTGAAAACCACCAGAAAATTCGATATTTTCTGAAAAGATTATTGTAAGTAAGAAAAAGTGTGAAGATCTGTAAGTATGCTTGTTGATTTCTGTAAGTGTGAATAATTGTTCGACTTTGTATGCATCACATAGGTGAAAGTGTTGAATTCCTTAGGAAAACCCGATGTTTTCCTAATACATCAATTTACGTGGTTTAGTTAGTATTATTCCGATACGACGTTGTATTCTATAATTCCAGGTGACATTGGATTAATTATGGGTTGTGAGTCGTTATAAGCATGCATTAATGAAAATGACTACTTTACAACTTTACAAACGATCCTTTAGGCGTCGTCCGTACTACTCACTTAATCCAACCACCATGACTTCTCATAGCCCCACGTCCGAGGAGAAAAGAGGGTGCGAAGCCCCCGTTTTTTCCATAAGTCGTTCAAGGCTATCGTGAATGCGAAAGGCACTTGGTCCGACTCGCATTTGACTTCTCGACTTTGCTAGCAGTACCAAAGGACCCTTGGGGCCCAACAGCACAATAAGGCTATTGAAAGTCGTTTTACAAGGAATTAGGTCATGTAAGACCCAATAAACATGTAAGCGTGTTCCCTTCGGGCCTAAAGATCATGTCATTGGGCTAGCTAGGCCCAACAAGCACGATTTGAAACTTTTGAGCCCAAAGAATGTGTATTGACTTCTCGTATATTACCGCGTGTGTATTGTAGTACCGTTGTATATTGATTTTTGATTCGTTATTGATTTGAGACCGAATCAACTCGTTTGGTAACGATTTTGGTGTTGAAGGTGTATTTATTATCACATTTCGCCGGTAGACGTAGTACTCGTACTTTTATCTAAGGGATCTATTGTTTTAGGAATGTCAGTTTATCTTCTTAAGCCCTTCCTCGGATATTTGTATATAAAAGAATTTCCGGTTTAGTCCGTAAACTATTTTTCTTGACACTTTAGTATCAAAACTTATTGGAAAGATATTTTTAGCACAAATTTACTTGAAAAACAGCTTAAGTCCCTCAAAATGAAATTTTCTCGGTTGAAACCCCCATTTTCGCAACTTTTACAATTTTGGCCCAAAATGGAAATTTTTTACATTTTTAGTCCCTTTTTAATTTGAAAACATTTTTGACCCTTGAAATAGTTTTATTACACTAGTAATCCCCTGTTTTTCATAAATGTGCAGTTTCAGCCCCTCTTTTTCTGGATTTTCACAATTTGGGGCTTATTGGGCCGAAAAGCCCATTTTTAGCCCATTAGGTTTAAAATTCACATTTTAAGCCCCTCCAAAGTGGTTTTATTCAGAAAAATTTTCTTAAAAACTGTTTGGACTTGTTTCAACCTCCATAAATTATGTTTTGTCATTTTGGGCCCCTTAGTTTTGTATTTTTGACATTTTGGGCCCAAAAATGGGTTTTGTGTCCAAAAATGTTCATCCTAACTAAATAAATCATTTTTATTGACTTGATTAGTGTAGAATGGTATAAGCTATGTTAATTTCATTCTTCATGTTGTATATCTCGGTTTTTAGAATTTTTAGCTAGCATAATCATCACATAACACATAAAAACCATACATACATGCATAAAATCACACAAGACATACATAAACTCATAGATCTACACATTTGCTTGTATTCTCCCCCACAAAAAACTTATAAAACAAAAAATAGGGGGTATGAAGCTCACCTTTGGGTGTGGTTTCGGTTTTTGGAAGAAAATGAGAAGAAAATTCGGCCTTAGTACCCCTCCTTGGAAGATCTCGAACTTAGAGGGTCTCTAAGAGAGTGATCATGATTTTTACATGGATTAGAAGGAGATTTTGATAAAACAAAGAACTTATATCATAGATCCAAACTTTATCTTACCTTAGATGAAGAATTTGTGTAAGAATTCCCCTTGAATCCTTCTTAGATCTCGAAATTATGGAGGGGGTATGAGGGAGATTTCTTGAGAGAAAAGTGAGTGAAATGTGTGTGAGTGTGTTTGGAATCGGCCGAGAATGAGAGAGAGAGAGAGAGAGAGAAAGATAAGTGCTTGCATGGGAGGATGAGATTGCATGGATGTTTGAAGTGCAAAAGCTTAGATATCCTCCATATAAAAATGAGGTGGCAAGCAAAGTCAACCCTTTCCTCTTGGGTTTGTAGTTT